CTGCTTACTGTAACATGAGGTCTAAAAATGAAAAATTATACAGTCTTATTTAACAATGTGACATAAACATACAGAAAGCACGCCGCAGTGATCAGAAAACAGTGTAGATACAAAGAACGAACATTTTATTAGCACACTTCAGATTTTTTGTTAATTTCAGGTTTAATTTGACTGCATGCACAGAGCTTCATTTAAATGAGGCTAAATTACAGCACATATATAGCAAAATTCATTTCTTTCCGTTCCGCCTTTTTAATTTAACCGGGTAGGAGCGTTCATCCTGCTGCTCGTGCTGATCGGTTTAACTTCAGCGATTGTACTGCAGGCTCTCTGTTGCATAATGAATGTGTGCCTGGCAGATGAGTCCTTCAGAACTGGCTGAATTCAGACTAATCTCCACCGAGCAGGCCCGCTAACCACACAGCATCAGAAAAACAGCAGAATTTTCCTTTAAACTAAACAAATTGTGAGATAATTGTGAAGCCAGCAGGCTCACTGACAACCTCCCACTGCTACGGTGAAATCTGCACACAGCGCTTTAAAAAAAGGGTTTGGTTTGGAAAAAATATTGCCATTAATTTCAATGGACAAACCAACAAAGTCAGTTTAAGTCACCTGTATTTATGCAGCACATTTGAAAACTATAGGAGCTGATCTAAAGGACATTACATTAGAAATATAACAACTACAAAAGCACAAGTGAAGCAGCACAATTAAAGGAGACCTATTCTGCTCAGTCCAGCTCCAGAAAGATAGCCTAGCTCCTCTGCCTTTAAGAAAAATGTCCTCTGATTGGCTGCCCCTAAACAACACATTGGAACAGCAGGTTGGTGGGATCTCTATGACATCATACAGCACCAGAAGTAGAAAAAACTGAGTGAAGCTGAGTTTTTAGAGCCGGCTCCAGTCTGAGCTGTTGGCTCATAGGGATTTCCTTTACACACCCTGACCTGATACGATAATATCGTACAATAATAACTGTTTAATATGAACAGCCTCCAAGAACAGGATAAACAATATGACAGAAAAAAAAGGTATAGACAATTGTTCCCCTGTAGAAGGCTTGTAGGAGGAAGAACGTAGGAGGGTCTGTACACAAGAGCTGATGTACAATCATGAGCAGCAGAGCTCGACATGATGCTGGATTTAAGAGCCTGGGGGCAGCGCCGCAGACAGATCAGCCAGTTTTGGTTTTAAGGTGGAAGCGAGAATTAATTAAACAAATTCAAGCATATTTATCATGACGCCAGTTAGCAGGCTAACAGGTGGCATCAATTTCCAATGCCCTTAAGCAAAGCACTCAGTCTCTTTGTCCAAACACAGCAGCATCCAGGGTGATAAATCACCTCTTGGACCTGTAGTGTAATAAGTAAAGCGAGGCTGTTATCACATTTGTTCACCTTGTGCTCGAGTACGCGCTGGTTGGTGGTCACATGATTATTAAAAATCCAGCTATGCAGCAGCATCATTGATCATCATCAGTAAATAACCAGTGAAATAAAAACCCCAGCCTGGTACTGCATGCAAACGCTAATGCAGATTTTTATTCACTCATGTGATTGTCATGTTTAACCTGTGAGCCAGCAGGATGTGAGTCACCATTACAGAGCTGAACACTTCAACGTGCACAGTAAATGAGTAACAGTTGACTGTAAACAGCTGCACAGAGGTCACCAAGTGATGTTTACATGATGGTGTTAAAAGGTCTGACTTTCTAAACAAGCTGCATGAATCAATTACTGCAGTGGAAACAGCAAAATCATAGCCTGATGTAATCCCTATAAATCAATAAACAAATAAGCAATAACAATAAAAATAAAAAAATAGAAAAAAAAATCACATAAAAGACTTGTATGTCTTGGTTAATGATTGCTACCCCTGAAACTGAATGAAACAAACACCCCCCCCCCCAAAAAACAAACAAACAAACAAACAATATAAAGCACACTTTAAAAACAAAAACAAAAACGTACTATCCACAGACATCCACAATAGGAGCCACCAGTGCCCTCGATTAGTTACCACTAACATTAAAGTAAGAAAACAGGAAATCTGGGATGGAGCAAAGCCTTCTCAGCTGTGGTACGTGGGCCACGGCTCGTACCAGGAGGGAAACTTACCAGCTGCAGTAATCTGACTTAAAATATCAGGAAGCTTCATGAAAGCCAGAGAACAAAGTACAGAGAGTATAGAGTGTATAAAACAGCAGCTGGTTTGGTTTTCTGGAGCAAGAATTGAACAAACTGAGATAAGAAGGTGACGAGCTAGGTTATCAGCTAATGCTAGCTAGCTAATTAGCAAGCTACACTACAAACTAAGATGGTGAGCAACAAACACAAAAACAAACAGAGCTGCCAAGTCACAGCAGGTTGATCACCAAAACTTCTTTGACATATTATTGACTGGTAACTGTTCTAAAAAACACCAAATGTGACTCAGCGGTGCAGTAGTTTAAATTAGCAAAGGTCAGTCCTAAAACCAAGGCAGGGAAAAACAAGATACCAGCGATCTGATCAAGTCGCAACAGTAGAAGATACTCTCCACAGAGCATCTTCTACTGTGGAGTAGGACTGGATGCAACAGAAGCACACTGGGCTGTCAATCAAAGGAGCCACACCCTTAACAGAAGTGTAACACCACCTGTACAGGTGTTAAACTGTCCATAGAGTCTAATCTGTTTTTGCAGCAGGCTGGGAAATTTTAACATCGGAGTCTATGGGGAATGACTCACATTTGGAGGACATTAGAGTAACAGAAGAATTTTAGTATTTAAGGCTTCATATTCCAGCCTCTGAACAACAGAATAAAGGCCCAAATTCAATTCATTTTTTTATATAGCACCAAATCACAACAAATCAATTCAAGCCGCTTAATATTGTAAGACCCCAAGATAATACAGACAAACCTCAGCAATCATAGGACCTCCTATGAGTACAAACTTAACAATGGGAAGGAAAAACTCCCTTTTAACAGGAAGAAACCTCCAACAGACCCAGGCTCAGGGAGGGGCGGGGCCATCTGCTGCGACTGGTTGGAGGTGAGGGGGAGGGAGGCACAAAGACAGGCAGGGGTGAAGGTGGGTCAGTGGATGAAATAGAGCCCCCTGTGCAGCACAAAACATCAAACACATTCAGCTAACTGGAGAAAATGTAGTAATTATAAGAGTTAAATCCTCCTTCATTTGTGTGACTAATGACACGAACGCTAAATACATCAAGATGAGCTTTAAAACAGGAAAGAAAAACTCTCTGTGCAGTTCAGTAGCTCCTGTTTTAGCCTTAATAAAAACATATTAGTTGTCCTCTATAATAAAATGAGAGCATAAACTATTTATTGTCATTTCCACTTGATGAATCCCCTAATTCTCATTCTGTGCCCTACCACCTAAATATTCAGTTTTCCACGGTCTAATGCTGCATTTTAAAAAGCTCGTACTGCTACTCTTACACTTATATTTAGCTTCCAGAGCTCAAATTAATTGGATGCACACATACAAATGGCTATTTAAATGCTCCTGTAGAGTCGATCACACTGTGGCTGGATTCCAGGTACACTGGAGTTAACCGCCCAGCTATGATATACGACCCCGAACTGCGCTGAGCAAACTCAGCCGCAGGAAGGCAGCCAATTAACATTTATCCAGAGCGCCCATTACTCGCCACCATCAGCTCTGCAAAAGATTATTTTGTTCTTTCTCAGCTCGGGTGTGATGGGGTCATTTCAAAGCAACTCATCCAAGAGCTTCACAGCAGCCACGGGACAGCCACTGATAATAAGAACCTCTGGAACATGTTATCATTTGCATAATTCGCAACACTACAGGCGTTGATGTTAAGACGCGAGTCGTGCAATTAGAGTCCAAATAAAGGCTTCTTGGTTTTTAACTTACTGTAGCCTAATCCAATCAAGTATTTACTGCAGTATTTCATCAGGGTCACTGATGTAAAATGGTTCAAATCTAAAAATAAGTGCAGAAAAGAAGCTTCAAGGCAGACGAAGATGAAGCAGCTCAACTGACAGATAAGTTGGGTTAACTCGATATTGCACAAAAATGGTTGAAAATGAGATTAAAGGAAACTGTATACGTTTTTCTGTGGGGTTAAATTGTTAGTGAATTTGTTTGGCCACTGCAGAGTTAATTAACTGGTAAGACTAGTATCTCGAGGAAGATATGGATTTGGATATTTGGGGGAAGGATCCTTTACTGTACATGTTTACATAAATGTAGGCGTGGAGCTCAAAAAGCCATTGATTGCTCCACCGTTTAGATTCTTTTCCAGTCCTTCACCCTTCCATTCCTGAGTCTTGAATCATTCATGGCCTGTTGTATTGCCTTTAGCCGGTGTCGACAACTCGGAGAAGTTTCTGAAGTGCTTCACAATCATAACAGCATCAATATTTCACAGCCAAACAGCCTGAAGAGCTTTATCGAATTGACCTGAAAGAAATGGTAAATGGCCTGTATTTGTATAGC